TTCTGAGATAGCTTTTATTGTTCAAACAGGTAATAGCGTGACTTGTATCTCTCAATCTTCTTTTTCCGCGTGGTCATTGATTCAGGTGTAGCTGATCACATTTCTGGTAATAAATCTCTTTTCACTACTATTTCATATTTTTCAATCTCTTCCAACAATCACAATGGCCAACGGGTCTCAAACCATGCAACTGGAATAGGTCAAGTCCACTTCCTTCCTTACCTTTGGATTCAGTTCTTTATGTTCGCGGTAGTCTTTTTAATCTCATAGCTGCTAGTCGCTTAGCCAAATCACTTAAATGCTCCGTTTTATTTCTTGATAACCTTGTTTTTATACAGGAAGGTGGTACGAGGTGGATCATTGGTATCGGGCATGAATCAAATGGACTTTATTACCTTATCCTTGCTAAATCACATGGATTCACATCTTATCTTCCTTCAACAGCTTGTCCCATTACTGATTCATCAGATTTATTACATAAACGATTGGGACATCCCAGCGTATCAAAACTTCAAAAAATAGAACCTGGTTTGTCTCACTTGTCCACTCTAGAGTGTTGATTCATTTCAGCTCAGTAAGCATACTCGCTCCTATTTTCCCCGATGTCCTCATAATCGAGTAGAGTCACCTTTCACTTTAGTCCACTCAGATGTTTGGGGTCCTAGTCGGGTCAGTTCTACCTTGGTATTCCACTACTTTGTAAGTTTAATTAATGATTATTCCAAATGCACTTGGATATTCTTGATGAAAAATCAATCTGAGTTGTTTTCTATTATCCAGACCTTCCATGCTGAAATTCAAAATCAATTCGGGGTTCTACCCGCACAATTGTAGTGATAATGCCCTAGAGTATTAGTCTTCCCCATTTCAACAATTTATGTACTTTTATGTGATCATTCATCAATCATCTTGTCCATACACATCTCAACAATAGGGTAGCTGAAAAAGAATAGGCATCTCATTGAACTTGCTCATACCCTGCTCATACAATCTCATGGTCCGTTGTGTTTTTTGGGAGAATGCAGCTCTCACGTCCTGTTATCTTATTAATCGTATGACATCCTCTAGCGAAGCGCTATCTCGTCTCGTATGGTGACAGGCTATGATCGAAGAGATGTCTGCTTTACATGCTAATGGCACATGGGAGCTTGTTTCTCCCTCTGATAAACGGCCCACTTCAAGCTATTGTATTTTAATTGGAGGCAATCTAATATCCTGGAAAAGTAAAGAGCCAGATGTAGTGGCTAGGTGAAGCGCAGAGACATAATATAGGGCTATGGCATTGGCTACTTGCGAGCTTATATAGCTAAGGCAACTTCTACAGGAGTTAAAGATTGGGGGGACGAGCTGATGAAATTGGTTGTGATAATCAAGCCGCATTACATATCGCTTCAAATCCAGTATTTCATGAAATAATGAAGCATATTGAAGTAATTGTCACTTCATTTGATAAAAGATTAAGTCTGGGTGTATTGTTACGAGTTTTCTCAACTTAAAAGACCAACTAGCGGATGTACTCACAAAATCACTCTGAGGGTCCAGAATTGGCGATATTTATAGCACGCTAAGAGCATATGACATGTATGCTCCAACTTAAGGAGGAGTGCTAAATAGGCAAGAATTAATACTATGTAAACATAAAAGAACACAAATACCTGTAATTACACAAACCCCGATAAGTAAGTAATTAGGAGATTTTGTAGCCTTGTAATTGTAGCCTTCCCTTATTTATATTTTTGTCGAAGGTTATTAAACCCAACAGCTTGAACGAATAATCAAGCACTTTATTCCCCATCTTTCTTCTCTTCTTTCTCGCTTTCGTCGTGCAGTTACCCGCTATTTTCCGAAGGTAAGTATTCTAGGTTCGTTTTCCTTTTTGGTGATTATGCACTATTCTTGCGTAATTTGGGCAAGAAATTTCTATGTTTTCAAAATAAGCAAACTCAAGTTGGTTGCCCCACTTTGAGTTTGAGGGTGCATGTTAGAACATTAAGTGAATATTTGTCTAGATTCATACACGTCCAGATTCATTGTACATGAATAAAGAAAATCATATAGAATATTCGATAGGATACCTTAGTACATTTTATGTATTTAATTATAGAATGTTTACTTACCGTATTAGCATAGGAATATATAACCTTATTAGACATACGTGATACACCTATAAAAAAAGCACCTCTTGTACATTGTTAATGAAGTCAATGAGAAGTATTTTCTTTTTTTATAATAACACTAAACTTTATGGGTTGTTTACATATGAACATCTACCTAATCTAATGCATTATTTACAAAGATTGAAAGATATCATATCTACAGATTCTCACATATCTTTGTCATAGTCATATCATAATACAGATTTAATATATCACATATTCTACACAATAGCCATGGTTGGATTTTAGTCAACAGATTTTACTAAGTCAGTAGGCATTTGGGCATGGCCGAAAGACCTTTCATTTCTCAATCTTCCAAAAGAAGATAAATCTTGGATATCCAGCTGGCCGTATCAAAAACCAGGTGCACATTGACCCAATAACAATTACTAGAGGAAAAAGAGTGCAGAAGCGAGCAGAGTGCTTAAAGTGCAAGTAAGCTTTTCTTTTTGCCCCAACTCAGATGTGCCTTCTCTCTCAGCTTAATCCTCATCATCTGCAGGATGCCACAGCCTTAGCTAGAATTATCATCACCATTTCTCCTCTCTATCTTCATTCCACACTCAAGACCTTGACTGCTCTTCCCATCCGCAGAGGAGATACGAGGGGAGCACGGAAAGTTTATCTTTCCGTTTGCTTTTTGTTATTTTTATAATAATCTGGCATTTAAAAGTGAGCTTTTAAGGTATTTCTTTATTTATCATTTACTTNTATATATATATATATATATATATATATATATATAAAGTTATATATTCTCGGGAACATTATTTATATACACATTAAGTATACCTGAGAATTAACTAGGTTATTAGTAGGCCAAATTCATATTACTTATCAAAGTTGGAAAATAAAGTGATCTTGATTGATAATTCAACGATAAAGTGGGTCAAGCCCATCATTAGACTAAATGGATGAGACAAAAGGGACTTAGGGATATAATGAAGTGCTTTTGATTTATTGAAAGAGAATAGAATGCAAGGGGGGTCTTTAGAAATGATATGACGTTGGCGGCTCCCCGGGAAGCTAAAGCAGAACATTGATTTATGATAATCATTTTTTAGAGATTTATGGGAAATAAACACTAAGCTTACTACATTATTGGCTCGTAAAACACAGAAAGCGACGAGAGGTCATTCCTTTCCAATTTGAAATTTCAGAACAATCACAAATTATAAGGTATCAATCTATTTTACCTTATGCTTTTTACTCTTCAAAGCATGAACACTAATATATTGGATATGTATATAGAATATTGAGTTAAATTATAATATTGAGATGCTTTCATCTTGGAACTCATAACTTAAGTTGTAGAAAGTTAAGATTTAGCTTTAAGCTAGAAATTTAGGGAAATCGAAATTTGACCAATCAATTAACATCAAGATTGAAGGTTTGAAACTTGATTATACCAATTTGGGCTCTACGACTTATGGGTAACTCGAAAATGTGACTGGTTTGGGAATTTGACCATGTTGATAGGGAGTTGACTTTGATTTACCTATTCCAAAAATTATGAAATGACCCTGACCAACATAATTGACATCGTTAATCAATATTTTGCATAGATTGAGACTATTGGAAGCTGTTTAGTTGGTGTTTTGACTATTGCAACGTTGAGGAACTTTATCGTCAGCGAGGTAAGCGACACTTTAAGCATTGACGCTTGCTTTTCAAAACCCATTTTCCAAAATGTATTTAGTCTACCTGGTCCAAGTGTAAGGACAAGCGTGTGCTTGGCAGAATTTTTTACCAGCCACATATATATATATATATATATATATATATATATCATTTTGTTAAAAAGGTGGAAATTCTTTAATACATGATTTTGTAGTGTGGCGTGGCTTTGTGCCGTGGCGTTTTGGGGTTAGAAATTAGTTCGTTGTTGCGGTAATATACTTTAGGGCAGTGTGCATGCAGCCATGATAAATTTGGATCATAGCATATACTGTCGCGGACTCGTCAGAATGTCTGATTGATTTCCTCCACCGTCGGTAATGACAAGTCCTTTGTGTATGATGTGTTGTTGCTTCTAAATAATTATATTAGCTTTATTGATATACTTTATTATGATAAATGGTGTGTTATTATATCATATTTGTTGATGTGTGTTTTTATTTTATAACACTTGTTCTAGGGGTATTTAAAGCGATGGGTCGAGGATCTTAGTGGGTTATATTCACGTATAACTCACTCCTTACTTGTATGTCCATACAGATGTTGTTGCGGAGGAGGAAGCTAGTGGCTGACGAGTTCATTCAAGTGGCTTATGTTGTTGAGTAGAGCCACTACATTGTCCATGGAGGCTGCCGACAGAGTCTTAATTTATTTCTTCTAGGGTTTGCACACCCGTCATTAAACTTATGTAATTCTCTTTTATATGCTCCATGGTCTAGTGTGGAATTTGGGTAAGAGTTTTAATTTGATATTTCGAGATATTAATTTTTTGTAATTAATTATTATATTATTTTGGATACTTGTTTAATTTATCAAATGTCGTGAATGAATTCTAAGTGTATAGTAAGAGTTGATTCGCGTAGCAGGTAGTGTTAGTTGGGTTGGTGCTAGTCACGTCCAGCGAATAGTTTGGGACGTGGCATTTTTATAATAGAGATGGGGCATTTTACCGTTAAAAAAATGAGCATTTAAGAAAACTATTTACCAGAAGAGAAATGCAAAAGACAAAATGAGAAATTAGTTCAGATGCAATAATTCCATCTATGATTGGAGTATAAACGACAAAACAAAAATATTTTTTTTTTAAGTGATAAAATTAAAATATCAAAAAAATTATATGCTTATTTACCAATATATATATATGCTCGATAGAGCCCCAGAGGGACCAAAAATGCACTTCTTTTAGCCGAAAACTTACAATGCTTTCCTTCTACCATGGTGCCAATTCTCCCATATTAGTCCAGCAATTGTTCGTCCTTTCCCCACACCAGCACCATCACCTACAAAAAATCCTGCTCTGGTACCATTTGGAAGGAACTGAAGGTGTCTCTGTTACAGGAAAACAGTAACCACAAGGTAAGAGCCTGCAAACAGAACTGGGTAACATGAGTCAGAATAGCAACCTGACAAGCATAAACCAATGTCTCAATTTGTAGGCAGGACAATGCGTTTGAGCTTTCCAAGTCATCTTTGATCTTCAGATCGTAGGTGGGTTCAGGTGGTTGTACTGCAGATAAGGAAGATGTCTCCACTATAGGATCAGGATGTGGAGGTCCAATAGATAGCTTGGGAGGCCGCTGTGTTGAATCAGGAAAAGAAAATAAGAACTGAAAGGATCAACCATCAACTTGTAATATACTAACACAAAGATCTCAACCGCTTAAAATCAATGATGATATCATGTGATACCACATTTAGGGAGGGGGAGATTCTTGGAGCTTTTTTTTTCTTTTTGGATAAGGGGATTCTTGGAGTTGGTATCCTCAAAACATTGTCACAATTTTCTCCATTAATAAGCTCACAACCACCTTACTAGCAAAGAAATGTGAACAGTTAGTAAAGTCAATGTAACAAAAGTAACACACCGATCTCTCTCTCTTTTTTTTATAAGGACATACCCATACCTCTTTTACTCCAGCTCCACTCTCTACAGCCATTATCACATGTCTTTTGTGTTTCAAACTCTCTCTTCTCCAACATTACACCATTTTACATAATAAAAAAGAAGATAACCGCTTGAAATTTTGAAGGGCATACACATATTTCTCTCACTATTACAATACTAGGAGTAAATAGCAGAGGTTGAAAAGAAAACGTACATAGTCCATGAAAGTTTCTCCAGCCATGCCACCCTCATCTTCTTCACGTTCTACTTCAATGGCAACCTGAAAGATCACAATGCAATGTAAAGAACTGAAAAGTATGGAACAAAGTTTCCTAAGGTCAATTAGTGTATACACGTCATCTGATCAAAAGAGAGTAGCAGAAAAAGTTGAACCAGAAGAATTGCTATAATTATTAAAAATAGAAATTATTGTTGAGCGTAACCTTTCTTCTCATTAGACCACAACTCTAGTGATACTGAAAAAGCTAATGAAATTTATACTTTTTCAATAAAAATAAAAGTTAGGATTTTATTGATATGAAGGGGCAAATCCCTGCATCCAAGATGTATGCCAAAAGTGAAGAATCTTGTGCAAAACATGGTTCTCTGTGAAGATTACTCCGTCATTACGCTAATTGGAATGTCAAAAATAATCCAAAAGATAGTGAAAGACATCAATGTTCCACTAATTTGTAAATTTGAGCTTTCAACTTCTTCAACACTCTTCTGATCCGCTCCTTCCATATGGTCCACATCAGCATCAAAAGAGCTATATGCCATGCTCTTCCTCTCTTTCCTCCTATAAACATCAGTCACGGGCACCAGCCATGCAACTCCAAACATCTTTCGTATGGCACACCAGAGTATATGTGTGATCGGACAATGAAGTAACAAATGATTAACATCCTCTCTACATCTTGCACATTAGTATCAACCTGATGTAGATTGACATCATTTGTCAGCTTGCATGCTACAGAATACTTCCGGAAACGTTATCTAAGAGAAAAAAAAAAGCACTCTAGGAACCCATAAGGATGATTGAGGAAACTGTCCTTTTAACAGTCCGTCATAGAAGAATTTCATCCTTTCGTCCTTTCTACCGACCCGTTACTTCACCAAGTAGTTACGTGTGTTTGCTGACTCATAATTATGAAGATAGTGGAGAAAGTTCCACATGGGCTTCTCAGTTCTCAAACCAAGTTTGTTTCCAGAAGGAAATTCTTCTTCTGTCGCCTACTTTGAGCACCACATTGCTGTAGAAATTATCCACCCTCTCAATGCTTCTCCAAAAAGCAGCTCCTTAGTTTAAGCTAGTTTGTACTCCATCGTCTCCCGTTCTACCCTATAGTTATCCTCCCCAATGAATGTTCTTTCTTTCACCCCACACCTCCATATCCATTTTCCTAGTAATGCATTATTGAACACCATCAAGTCCATTATCCTCCCACTTGACTAAATGATACCTCTTCACCTCCCCAATTTCAATGACCTTTTACTTAATGTATCTCTTAAGCTTTTTGGAAATTAACTAATTGTAGTAGATGGCTGTTTGTCAGGTGGAAAATTTTAGCTAAAAGCAACAAATACAACGGCGTTAAATTTAGGGCATGTTTCCTAAGAATAAACAGAAGGCGGTAAGGGAAAGTAAAAACCTCGTTAACTTCTTCCTGAGGCATAGGCGGTAGAGGGGGAGGAGGACGGAGAGCAGCAGGATGAGAAGGATGAGGAAGAAATTGCCTAATTTTGGAGATATCAACGGCGAGGTCGATCCCACATTGAGGGCAAGAGAAGTGAGAGAGGCCATGAGGGACGTTAAGTATGGCCTTGCAGTGAGCGCAGGGCAACTGGATCTTGGTGGGATCAATGCCATGAGCCAGGGCACTGCTGCGCTGTTGTTGAGGCATGAGCTCCGGAGGTAGCATCTGCGGCAACTGACAGGTAGGGCACACAAACTCCGTCAGTCCCGCAGCGACTGTCAATATCATCTTGCAACCAGCACACCGAACTTGGCAACCTCCTCCTCCATTAGAACTGCTCGCCGACGGTGGTGGTGGTGGCGGAAGAGACGGAGGAACAACTGACGGAATCGGGACCGATTGCTGGTCCATATTAAACAAACAAGAAGAGACCAGTCGACAGACTAATAAGACGAAAGACGATGCACAACCGGCACTAGAAATTTATGACAAAGATGTCAACTACAGAATGACGACAGCCGGAAGAGGTGGATTGTGGCCGGAGATGTTCGGTGAGTTTTGGCTTGCCCTCAATTCTTGGGCTTTGGAGCGCACGCTCCCGCTTCCGGTTTCCTTACTGGTGAGTGGCGTATAGTACACAAATAAGGTCTCTGAAAGTAAGTTTGGGCAATGTCTTTGAATTTGAGAAAGAAAAAAAAAGTCAAAATAATCCTTACGCGTCGTTTAGTTACAAGGATAATTACGGTAATCATTTATAAGTAGTTTATTATAAAAATTGACTAATTAATAAAATATTATTAATATTAATCAAATGTTAGTTAATTACTAGTTATTTGTAGCCAAAAAGGGTCAAATTTTTGTTTTCTTTTGAGTGGGTGCTATCATAATAGATTGGATACATGTTAAGGAACTTGAATCTCAGTTCCGAGATAATTTGGTATAGTTTTGAGGTGGTTTGAATTGAAAATTCGATTAGAATATGAACATCAAAAAAAATGATAGGTGTATCACACTGCGTATCACGTGTATATCACATAAGTATCATATTTGTATCAAATATGTATCACACGTATATCCATGTATACCTGCGTGTGAGATGCATGCGTGATACATGTTTGACACATGTGTCGCATATAAAAAAAAATTGAACTCGATTTTAACTACGAATTTTGATACCAAATCATCTCCAATCTTCCTCAAATTTTGTAAATTGACTATGTTCAATAAATCTCAACCATACCCATCGAAAAAGTCATTTTTTGCTTAGATTTTTGGAATTTTGTATATATATCTTTTTGTATTTCGTCACTTTATTTGCTACATCATTCAAGAAAATTTTTTTTCATCTTGCATCTAATGTTAATCACGCTTGAAAATATGGAAGGAGATCTTTGTGTGTGATTCTTGGAGAGAAAGAACCTTATTTTTTGGGGTTTTCAATTTTTATTTGTGTTTGACTAGTTTTGGTAAGTTTATGATTAATGGCCAGAGGTTGATAAGTTTGACTTTTTAGGGACATTTCTATAAGATTCCCGATAACTAATACTACTAGTTACAAGTATAAAATATGACAATTTTGGAAATTTTTGCAATGTATAGCCGCTTTGAAAATAAAAAAAAATTGAATGGAATAGCCATTTTTTGGACAGACTACGATTAGGAAAATAGCCACAATTTGAACTATAATAGGAAAATAATCACTTTTATGTGAAAAATAAATTTGGACAAAATATCCCTACTTAAAACACGAGAGAACCCCATGGATCATTCTATGGGGTCTGAGCTTATAAAGCTTCAAACTCCGGTAATCGTTCTTATGATTTGCAACTCCAACAAATTTTCACAACCAACAAATTTTTACACTTGATTGTGAAAATTTGTATCCTCGTGAACGTTCATGGTTTTTGAACTTATAAAGTTTCAAACTCCAGCAATCATTTTTAGGAATTGAAATTCCGGTAAACTTTTACATTTAGTTGTAAAAAAATTGAATCCTATGAATCGTCCATGGGTTTGGACTTATAACGCTTCGTACTCCGGTAAATCGTTCTTAGAGTTTGAAACTCCAACAAAATTTCACACCTAGTCAGAATATTATCGAACCAATGAGTCGTTCATGGGGTTCAAATGTATAAAGCTTCAAAATCCAGCGATTGTTCTTGGGGTTTGACACCCTAATTAATTTCACACTTAATTGTAAATTTTTTGAATCCCATGAATTGTTCATGAAGTTTGAACTTATAAAGCTTTAAATTCCATCAATTGTGCGTGGAGTTTAAAACTCCAGCACCTTTTCACCCTTAATTGTGAAATTTTTTAACCCCATAAATCGTCTATGAGGTTTGAACTTATAATACTTGGAATTCCCACAATTGTTCTTGAGGTTTGAAATTCCAACAAAATTTACATTTGTTTGTAAAAATTTTGAGTCTCATAAATCGTTCGCGGGCTTTGAACTTATAGTTTTTGGGTTTAAAACTCGAGAAAATTTCACAAGCCACTAATGTTTAGTGGTTATTAGCTAGTTGTAGCTATCATTTACTAAATTATTTCATATAGTTATGTTTTCAGTTTTGCTAGAGTGTATTCGATATATTTAAGCTCCTGTATTCATGAATACAATAGCAAAACTCGGCGTGACAGCTAAGCAATTATTGTATTCGATTGTATTCACGATATGTATTTGTGAATACAGTAACGTAAATAGCATAAATCGTGGTATATTAATCTATTTTTAAACGGAAAGTAAATCAATTAACACAAATAGACTCCTAATATAACTCAACAAACTCAATTATACATCTGAATACATAAATTATATTAATTAAAAAAACATATGAATACACTCGTCGAATATAGCGAGACAATGAATACAATAAAATACATGAAATACATCGAGATACATTGAATTCAATACAATGGAAAAAAAAAAGACAATGAATAGAATGAAATACATAGAATACATCGAGATACATTGAAATACAATGGAAAAAAAAAGGTAACAGACTCTTCAAGTTGCTCAGCCCCAAACTCCGTCGTCTTTGTTTACTAATAACCTTAATGTCGTCTCGTCAATAGCAGATTTCGAACCTCCATTGTCAGCCCCAATTTACCCTATGTTAGATTTCGACATTAATACGAAACATATATAAGACATTGATTTCTAAACAGACTCTTCAATCATTAAACATAAATATACGAAATTTTCATTGTCAGCACCAATTTACCTTTTAATAGCAGATTTCGAATCTCCATCTTTCTCTCTAGGGCTTGATTTCGATACTGATTCAGAGCCCCAGGCCACTGACAATGAAATTTCGTTCGACAATGGAGACGAATCAGTGGAGAATTATGGTTGTATTCATGGAGAAAGACTGACATTGAGAGAGAGGGGACGGAGAAAAATCTAAAAGAATGAGAGAGAAAAATAATACAAAGCGTATTTTATGGCTTAAGGGTAGGAGGTAACCATAAAAGATATTTGGCTATAAAAATCAAAAGGTTATGAAATATAATTTTTTAAAAGGATATTTATTTAAAATAAATAAGATATCAACCTTTGCTACCGGAAATAAAAATTCCTAAATTTTTACACTTAGCCATGAAGATCTTAAACCCAATGAATCGTTCTTGGGGTTCAAATTGAAAACAAAATAAAACATACACACCTTATATTATATATCCTTTAGTTAATCATTTTATACACTCCTGGGTGCGCTACTAAAACAAAGGAGGAAAAAATAAATGAAGTGAGAATTGATCCCTATTCCTCTAGTTAACTAACTCAATCTTCAATCGAGTGCACCATTCAACCTTCTTAGAGAATGGATTCCAACACTTAATATTATACCTATTTTAAAAAATATGTGCATAAAATATCGAATTTTGCAGAGAAACAATGGGTTCATGTGCCTATAAATCCACCCCTGGCATGAAGCATTGTGTTTCTGCGTTTTTTGTTAAAGGTTTGTAGTTTTTCTCCTTTATGTTGGGTTGGGTGGTGATCGTTTGGTTCGATGGGAATTGGAGAAGTTAAGAAAATGGTTGAATTAGACGTTTGGACGATGCTGCTCATTACAATTTAGGAAATTCAACCTACAAACTTGGTGGAAATCCTTCGAGCAAATGGCAGAACTTGCAAAAGTTTGAATTTGGAGATGGTGGCATGACTGAGGTTAAGCGTAGACTAGTTCATGAATGGATTGGTCTAGCAAAATTTTGAAAGGGTTCGAACTCTAGTACCATGTGTTGGAGTTTTACCTTTAAAAATTACGAAATTCAACATATAATAATGGAGTTTATNTTCTCGCCCCACCCCAACCCCCATCCTAAATAGAAATATTATTAATAGTACATTCTTTTTATGTTATAGATAGAGTATTTTTTTTATTTTGTTTCAACAAATGAGTATTTTTCTTTTTATGATATAAAAAAGGAATCTTTTTCTTTCATTTAAAAAAAATTACTTTCTTTTTCTGATGTAACAAAAGTATTTTTTTTCATTTCAACAAAATAATGTAGTAAAAAGTATTTTCTTTCATTTCAACAAAAAATATTTTTTTTCATGATGTAGAAAAAATATTTCCTTTCATTTCAACAAAAAAAATATTTTCTTTTCATGATGAAGAAGAAGTAATTTCTTTTATTTCAACAAAATGAGTATTTTCTTTTCATGATGTAGAAAAAATATTTCCTTTCATTTCAACAAAAAAAATATTTTCTTTTCATGATGAAGAAGAAGTAATTTCTTTTATTTCAACAAAATGAGTATTTTCTTTTCATGATGTAGAAAAAATATTTTCTTTCATTTCCGCAAAGTAAGTACTTTATTTTCACGTTGTAGAAAGAGTAGTTTTTTTAAGCCAAACATCTTTCATATGGCACACCAGAGTATATGTGCGATCGAACAATGAAGTAACAAATGATTAACATCCTCTCTACGATCTTGCACATTAGTATCAACCTGATGTAGATTGACATCATTTGTCAGCCTGCATGCTACAGAATACTTCCGGAAACGTTATCTAAAAGAAAAAAAAGCACTCTAGGAACCCATAAGGATGATTGAGGAAACTGTCCTTTTAACAGTTCGTCATAGAAGAATTTCATCCTTTCGTCCTTTCTACCAACCCGTTACTTCACCAAGTATTAGAAATTCATTGACGTAATAGAGAATTTGTGTAGCTGAAGTTTTTCAGTGTATTGAATGAATACTTTCTGTACAAGTCATGTGTATATATACAAAGAATGAAAGAATCTTTTGCATAACCAACTATCCACTTGTCTTATGCTTATTTGTCAAGCTATAACCACCTTTTAGATATGTACAGACATAAAGAGAAATAAACACATTTTATTTTCTGACTAGACTCTTCTAATTCCTTCTAGAAAACCTAAGCAGGCCTTTGTAGTGTATTGGGCCCAAGATGAAATAATTAGTTTGGAGAAGCAGTTTGAACCCAAAGCCTGCCTGGCCCGATTTTATTGAGCTTGAAACAAATATCAAAAGCTCTTCAGATAAGAGCTTGATTAACCCCGTTTGTATCAAACTCCTTCTTCACAAATTGAGCTTCCCCTCTTCCTTATCTTTGAGGTTTCTTGCAAATCATTCCCAACTTCTGATGGTCGTGAAATCATATCACCAACATC